TTTGAAAGTTTTAAGTGACTGCCACGCACGGACAGCTCATGGGGAAATGCATGGGCGAAAAACAATTAATTTAAGGTCAATAAGTAGGAACGGTGTACTCTATCAGATAAATAAAAATGAAAATAAAAAAATTGAAATTTCAGTTTTTTATTTCATTTTATATTTGGTGTTGCAATACTTTTTTCCAGGTGTATATAGTTATTTTCATGAATTCATTTACAATACTATATATGCGAGGTGCTTTTAAATTTTTCAAATTTTTAATCGCTTTAATGATTTCACCCTCTGTTATTTCAGAATTAAGAAGGTTAATATTATTTTGAGAATAAATCCCCGAAAAATCACCCACACTGGCTTCTTTATCATTGTTATCTAAGTCTTTAAAATATTCATATAGGCGATCAAGTGTAATATTATTTTGCTTCAGAAGTTTGAAACTTTGAGAATTACTTCAATATACCCCAAAAAATTTTGTATTGGTTTTAGAGGGACTTCGATGTTGCGTCTGAAATTTCTTCAAATGTTCATTATAACATATTTTTCATTTCATTTTTATATTCTCGAACCGATCTCGTGAGTATCTGTTTGTTTACAGACGACTTTCGCAGATTATATTTTCTACGGTTAATATTAAACTGCTTTTGTTTTTCCTGACAACTTTTGTATGCCATGGTTTACTGTCAGGTTTCACTTTTTGCCGAGTCGAGTTTATGCAACAACAAATTGATTTTGCAGTGTTTCTCAAGATCTCACCAATTTTGTTCTCCGCTTTATCAATAACATGTTTCACTTGATTGCCTTTACATTCTTCATTAAACATAGTATCAAGATCTACGAATGACAATTGGCTTCTAAAATTACCTTCGAGAAACTCCTCTTGTTTGGAAGCTTTTCATTTAATATAATTAGATTTACTACAACATGTACAATGATCTACATTTTGTTTTGTATTATTTTTCATTCCATTGGAATTCAAATACACATTTAGCCCACAAGGTACATCTGAATATAGGGGATTGTAATCTAAAACATCTAAAGATTTTACATTTGGTAACCATTTGAGGATAATAAGAAATAATCTAGAAGTGATACATGATTACATGTCTTCTTACAAACAGATTTATCATTTCCATTCAATCTGCCATTTCCGATATAAATATTTAGTTTTTTACAAAAAATTGCAATTTGGATCCATTATTATTAACTTGAGACGTAACTTCTGAAAATCTTGATAGAGAAATAGTATTCAACAAAAGTTTCTAATAATCAAACAAATATACTAGCAATACATTATCATGAAAATCATCCAAAAGTTAAAAAAAAGAGTCAGTAGGTACAACAAAGTCATCTAATTTTCTCGTTTTTTTCATTAAAATCTCCTAATAATGCGATGTCACAACTATTATCATGTAAATGAAGAAGTTCATCTTCCAAAAAAAATCTCTTTTGATGCATAGTTAGATTTTTCAGGTGGAATACCAGTAACTCTTATTATCTTGTAATAGTTCATTCGAAATTGTTATCCATTGTACAAAATCAGATTTTGTTTTATGAAATTTTAAGTAAGACTTCAAATTATCTTTATATACAATTGTTAATCCACTAGACTTTCTATCAAAACCACTTCTGTGTTTACAACAATAGTTGTAACCATTTTATCTGTTTTCGTCTCTACAAATAGGCAAATATCATTTTTGATAAGACCATTGAAATCATGATACAAAAGTTTTGATTTTAGACCACATACATTAAGAGATAAGATTGTTATTTCATTTTCTATAGTATCCAAATTGCTATTCGAAGGAACATTACAACTCCTGTTGTCAGTCCCCTATCGTGGTCTTAGTGGGGTTTCTTAAGCCGACTGAAAGTGTTGCGGTTGTGGTCGATCGAATCTGTGAAAACTCTACTGGAAGTCCGGGAGGTGGTGGTTGGCTATTTACCAAGTGTCCGTCGATGAAAAATTTGCCATTTAGACCTCTTGCGCGTCTGTCATGTTTTTTTAGCATCATTCAACCTGGGGACTAATTGTTGGCGCCTCTCTGAAATCTCCATAGGGTATTATTGATATACAGAGTAGTTGGCATTGTCTATAAGTTTATCAATTACGGCATGTCAGATCTTCTCATGATGATTATAGCTTGTGAATCTGCAATAATACTCCGCGGTTTACCATCCGTTCTCTTTTCTAATCTATGTTCATTTTTGAAAAACATTCAAGTTCTATTAACATCCTCTGTATTTTCATCACTCCGTCTACCATGCTCTGGGATTCCAGAAAATAGTAAGATGTATTTTATGGAATGAAACCTCATCTCTAAAATTTCCTCTCTCAGTTCATTGTTTTCCCATGCTAATTTGCTTTTCAAATTTTCAGCTTTTGACATTCAGTCTTCAATATTGAATTAGTGAAATTCCTCGTTTTTCAACATTTCTGACTGTTCCCTGAGATAATTCCTGATATAATTAATTTAGTAGCCACTATAGCCACATGTTTGCGCCTGTCCCAAGTTAGGAGCATCTGGCCTTTGTTAGTCTTGCATGTTTATAGCTCAACTGGCCCAATTGTCCAAGTGAGCTTTTTACATCACTTGGCGTCCGTCGTCCATCGTCGTCCGTTGACTTTTACAAAAGTCTCGTCTTAATCTACTTGGCCAAATTTAACCAAACTTGGCCCCAATCATCATTAGGGTATCTACTTTAAAAAATGTGTCAGAACCAACATGGCCGACATGGCTAAAATTGAACATAGGGGTAAAATGCAGGTTTTTGGCTTATATCTCTAAAACTAAAGCTTTTAGAGCAAATCTGACACGGAATAAAAATGTTCATCAGGTTGAGATTTATCCTCCTTGAAATTTTCAGACGAATCAGACAACCGTTGTTGGGTTGCTGCCACTGAATTGGTTATTTTAAGGAAATTTTGCAGTTTTTGGTTATTATCATGAATATCATTATAGATAGATATAAACTGTTAACAGCAATAATGTTCAGCAAAGTAAGATCTACAAATAAGTTGACAGAACCAAGATGGTCAATTGACCCCTTAAGAAGTTATTGCCCTGTATAGTCAATTTTTTACAATTTTTGTAATTTTTTTTTCTTTTACAAAAATATTTTCCTCTGAAACTATTGAGTCAAATTTAACCAAACTTGGCCATAATCATCATTAGGGTATTTAGTTTAAAAAAATATGTTCGATGACCCCGCTTGCCAACCAATAGGGCCGACATGGCTAAAAATAGAACATAGGGGTAAAATGCAGCTTTTGACTTATATTTCTGAAACTAAAGCATTTAGAGCAAATCTGACATGGATAAAAATGTTAATCAGGTTGAGATCTATCCGCCCTAAAATTTTCAGACGAATCAGACAACCTGTTGTTGGGTTGCTGCCCCTGAATCAGTAATTTTAAGGAAATTTTGCAGTTTTTGGTTATTATCTTGAATATTATTATAGATAGATATAAACTATAATCAGCAATAATGTTTAGCATAGTAAGATCTTCAAATAGGTTAAATGACCAAAATTGTCAATTGACCTCTTGAGGAGTTATTGCCCTTAATAGTCAATGTCTGACAATTGTTCTTAATTTTTGTAATCTTTTACAAAAATCTTCTCCACTTAATATACTTGGCCAAATAGAATTAAGCTTAGCCACAATTTTCAAAACGCTATCTTGAATGAAAAATGTATCCACTGACCCTGCTATCCAACAAAAAATTGCCGCCATGGCTAAAGATAGAACATAGGTGTTACTATAGAAGTCTATGGGAAAATTGTGAAAAACCAATTTTTAATGGTCACAACTTGGAAACTAATTTGAATAATGATAAGGGGTCTTCCGCAACTATTATAAGTTGAAGACCCATTGGTGGCCTTCGGTTGTTTTCTGCTCTTTGGTCGGGTTGTAGTCTCTTTGACACATTCCACATTTCCATTCTCAATTTTATTATAGCTGTAAGTGGAGTAGAAAAAAATCAATCAATCAATCCAGTGAAATTGAACTACACAATATCATCGAAAATGTTTGTATGATGTGTGGTGACGAAACGCGCGCCTGGAGTAGTAAATAATAAGCCTGGTATCTATGATAAGTTTTTATTTAGTCGCCTACACTAATTGTTTTGTCTTCGGTCATGTCTAATTAAAATCATAATTTAATAAGGATGTTTTAAGGTAATACCTAAGCTTGTCTTAAATCATGTCTTAAATTTACTTCCTCATACAAAACACGACTTGTTTTAGGCCACTTTCATGAAACCACACCTCTCGCTTATTCTAAATAGTTCCTATAACTTTTCATAGTTGAATAAGACAATTACATCCAATAGCTTCCCTGTAGCTTAGCATATAGTATGTTACTGTGCTTTATTGTTACCTTAAAAAAGAATACACTGAAATATTATCAATTTAAAAACTTCAACTTCCTATTTGATTTTTCTTCCAACTGTTTTGATTCGAACGCCATTACTGAGTCGTTTGTAGAGGAAATGCACGTCTGACGTGACAAATTATAAGCCTTTCATCTGGGGTTTTGGTATGTATTGATACAAAATGAGCGACTCATTCGCTAATGAAACCTTAAACTGCTCGATACGAATTGATTATCAGGTTTTATGTAAATTGATAGTTTGATATTGTAAAATATCAGCTTCAAGTTACAAATCGATAATTTTTGTTCACAAAGGCTTTACATTTTGTCGCATAGCTTTTATTTTATAAAAATGTTGACAATTTTATAATCGATTTTATCGGATTGTATTAATGCGTTATTCATCATAAAGACAATAATACTTTCATGAATCAAACATAATGACGTCGGGGACAATGACTTTTACGTTACATGACCGTGATTTAGATTTTCAGAAAAATTGAGTAGACTGATACAGACAGAGGGCAGACGGACAATAGTACAACATTTGCTATAAAGTTGATGGTTTGTTTGTCTAAACCCTTTTCATATTTTCTTTGATACATATTTTCTTTACGTTTTGCAGGCGTTTGATATATGCAGTAATAGTAACAGTCTGTGGCTTATTTCTTTCTGGATTTATATTCTTCTTAATAAAACTGTGCAGTCGTAATTATATACTACAAAGAAGAGAAAATAGAAGGAACATAATGATGTTACCTCTAAATGATATCGACGAACAGTGTAAGTTTAAATAGTGTGGATATATATGTTGAAGGCATCTATTTCAGTAGATTTATACGTATACTGCAAACAAGAACACTGCTCAACTTTATTGTAAAAATGTCAATACGAAGACAGTTAAACAGACAATAAGACACCAATACAGCCAAAACAAAATCAACATTGGTTGATAATTTTTAAATTAAAAAAATTTTCAAATTAATGATTAATATCAAATTAATAATCAACATCAAAATTAATGGATTTGATAAATAATTCCTTTTAAAATACTCCGAGTTTGTCAAAGCTGCTAACTGATATCTCTAGACAAAAATACTGTTGTTATATATTCAAAAATACGTCATATTATTTTTTCAGAGACTCGAAATCCGCACAATAAGCAGTAATCTTATTTGTAAATTCAAATCAAGATTCAAGGCTTTTAAAAAAAAGGATCGGTGTTAATTAAAGACTGAAGATTTTGCACTAAAAAAACAAATGTTTTTTATATGCTTATTAATTCTGCTTCAATTTATTGTCGTTGTAGAACAAAACTGGCGAAAGAGTAATGATAGAGAAGTTCTTGATAGCAGTTCTGTACTAACTTTCTTTACAACTTTGGAAGACTCGGAAATATTAAAAGCGTTCAAATGTATTGACACTTGTTTATTATTTATGGTATTATTCATTTTACAATGTATTCATATATGTTAGAGTTTAGTGTGACGTCCATTTTCACTGAACTAGTACACAATTTTATTGAGAGGCCAGCTGAGGACCACCTCCGGGTGCGGTATTTTCTCGCTGCGTTGAAGACCCATTGGTGGCCTTCGGCTGCTGTCTGTTCTTTGGTCGGGTTGTTGTCTTTTTGACATATTCCCCATTTCCCTTCTCAATTGTATTGCAAAAAAATAATTGTCAACCTGAAATCTAAATGCTTATGCAAAAGAAGAATGTATGATACGAGTAATTATCTGTCCCCGAAAAATATTATAAAAAAGTCCATTAAACCTAGCAAAATAAAACTCTCGACTATAATAACCAATTGAACGAACAGAAAATAACTGTCATATTTCTGACATTGTACAGGAATTTTCCGAATAAAAAATGTTGGCTAAACCTGGTTTTATACCTAGATTAACATCATATTTGTTAAATTGAAAAAAATTGGGTAAGCAACCGAAACTGACATGATTGGATTGGATTCAGCAGCAAAAACTCTGTAAACAGACATAAAAATACAACTGACAAAAAAAATCAAAAAAAAAATGAAATCTGACAAAAAGTGTAGAAATGCATGCGTTCGAATCGTAAAACTTGGCCCTCCTGCGTCAGAAGCAAAAAAAAAACAAAAAAAAACCTATAGCTAGAAACACAAATACCGAATCACATCAAGTACAGAGACAAATAAAGGAAAACTGTAAAGTAATAAAACGATAATTAACGTCAACACCTATAATCTTTAACTCAAATCCGTCCTGCTATAAATGTTTTCTACAAGAATCTAATTATTTTCAGTGTCATTATTATGCCTGTTATGTCTAATAATTCTGTACAGACAATATCTAGAGAAGGAAATTTGCAAATCTCATTAAACTCTGCGTGCTTAATATATTTGTTATTTGAAATGTATCCAATATGCCCAAATTCGGGCAATTTTTTTTACATATCATCTTTTTAAAGAATACACTTGATTAAATTATCTATTCGTAAATGAACTATGCGCATTCACATTACTATTATCTACCTTGTTTTGTCTACAAAATAAACAAAATTGCTATACCAAAGCAATATGTTATCCGTAACTGTGTAAATGAGGAATAACATTTTGTGTGTTCAATATAGAGTTTTACAACAGGGACACATACTTCATAGTAAAGTATATGTCAAGATTGCGCATTTGTTGCTGTAATTCAATAGGCTAAACATGTAGTGATAGTGACACACTAGTAGATAAGTCCCAATTTGTCCATAAATTGGGAGACAAAACAATGGTACAATTGGGATTCAAAATAACAAGAAAGCGAACCATCTTTTCAAAATGTCTGACCTTTCTCTTTAAAAAATGAAAACCATGCGTTATAAATTTCATGCATCAGAAGGGCTTTTCTGGATTCATCTTCATCAGAAACGCTCAAAGCCAAATATGTGAAAGCCAAAAATGTATAAACCTACTAAGAGTTGGTGCGTTCACATGGTATTATTGTGATAAGATAGTATAAAAGTCAAATATTGTCAGATATGATCTGAATACAGATAATAGTACTTTCCCGCAGTTCGTATAGTAAAGCGGGAAAATATTGTATTGTCGTTACGTTATCATAAATATGCATAAGGCATAACAAAGTTGACCAATCAGAAAGTCGAATTTTGTATTACGATATACTTGGTGTTTTTCAACCGCTTCACTTTCTAGCCGTCGGTCAATATAGTAAGCTCCTTTTTATAATTGCCAATTGCAATTAAACTTGATTTTCTATTTATATACATATTTGCTAATTAAAGGTGTGGTCCGACACTTTTATCCTGGGATAGATTCGAGCATTGGCATCAGATACAGGTTTCCATTCATATTCATATATATAAATAATGATTTTATCAGGGGTTTTTTTCTGGACGGCCTTGACTATCTATGAAGGGTAAAAATTCAGAAAGCGAATACACTATTGACACATTTATATATAATACATTGTATATGTTTGATATTTTAAAATGTGTAATGCTAGAAATTATTTGTAATGCAAATTGAATACGACGTTTATCACGTTCGACGGGCTGTCGGCAAATTTACATTTGTGTTTAAGTTATATTTAGTCATGGGGTTGAGGACTATGCTAGAAAATGGTTAAAGCGCGAATCAGACGAACCAGAACTAAAAAACTTTGTCTGAATGGATTAAAGCTATTCGATCATGTATTCAGAAGCGCATTCAGAAACTACGATGTACTATTAGCACAAGTGTTTCTAATCCATTCAAGAACCCGGAGGTTGCGTATGCTTTATCCTCTTCGCATGACAAATATGTCGTTGTTCTAGCAGATCAAGGCTCCAATAATATTGTCTTCGTATGTACAAACTATTATTTGCAATGTCTCACAAAAGAGCTTGGAATAAACAGCACAACTGGTAATCCTACATATTCTTTAACATCATTTACTAATGATGAAATTTTACAAAATCACAAATCTGTCCTTTTTTTTATTTGGTATTAACATCAAAGAAAGCGTCATTAAACTGTATACCAAAACTTCAAAAAACTCTGTATAAAGAACGATACATATCTAGATCATCGAGATGTTCGACTAAACATCTTTTTAAAGTGTTGGCTACTATTCTTTCTACAGTAAAAGATGGCCTTCAAAAATATTGTGATGAGATATATTCAACCAGAGGTGTTTTATATACCTAAACCAATTTCCACTTCATTTTCAACGTTTTCATACGTTATAAAAAAGTATATGTATATATATATTGTATATTTCTTTTAATGTTCATTTATTTGTAAATTGTGTATGTACTGGAGAAGACATTATTAAGTTGTAAAACTTGTGTCTCATCCATTTGTTTAGTTTCTGAACAATAAAATATGTTTAAACCAACCAGTGAAAAAATTCTAAAGATCTCCTGCTAAATCTTAGATCACAATCTCTGCCATTTTGCAGCAACATTAAGATCTTTGATTTTTCTACGTTTTACACTACTATTCCGAATGCTCAATTGAAAGATCGACTTCACCATCTCATTAAACAGAACTTTTTCTATAAAAATGGGAATCGTAGATGTAAATTTCTTGTTCTGGGTTATAATAATTCTTATTTTGTGAAGAACCACACTGATTCTTGCAGTAAAGATGATATTATCAAAATGCTGAACTTTTTAATCAACAATATATTTGTTGAAGTTGGAGGATTGATATTACAAAAAACAGTCGATATTCCAATGGGTTCTTATTGTGCAACCCTTCTGGCCGACTTGTTTTTGTACTCGTAATTAAGCAGAATTCATTCAGAACCTTCTAAAAGACAAAAAGAAAAAGCACCTTTTGTTTCAGAAAAGGGAGAAGGTTTGGTACCATTAAAACGTTTAATCCCGCTGCAAATGTTTGCACCTGTTCTAAGCCAGGAATCTGATTACAGTAGTTGTCGTCTGTTTATGTAGTTCATACGTGTTTCTCGTTTCTCGTTTTTATATAGATTAGACCGTTGGTTTTTCCGTTTGAATGGTTTTACACTAGTATTTTTTGGAGGGCCCTTTATAGCTTGCTGTTCGGTGTGAGCCAATGCTCCGTGTTGAAGGCCGTACCTTGGCCTAAAATGGTTTGCTTTTATAAATTGCAACTTGGATGGAGAGTTGTCTCATTGGCACTCATACCACATCTTCCTATATCTACTTGCAAAATTCTTTAATTTTACTTTCAGATATATTGATGATGTCCTTTCACTGAATAACCCATATTTTAGTCAATACTTGAATCTCATATATCCCAGTGAACTTGAAATTAAGGATACTACTAATACAAGAAAGACTGTTTCATACCTTGATCTTTTCCTCAATATGGACACAGATGGACGATTTCACACTAAAATCTATGACAAACGGGATGATTTCAACTTCCCAATTATCAATTTTTCATTTCACAACAGTAACATACCCTCTGCTCCGTCGTATGGTGTTTACATATTTCAATTGATACGTTATACTCGTGTATGTTCACACTATACTGACTTTATATACAGGAGTGTGCTCCTTACGCAGAAACTGCTTAACAGAGTTATGAGGAGTAAAGATTAAAAATGACACTCCATAAATTTTATGGACACCATCACCAATTGGTTGATCTATACGATGTGTCTGTGTCTAATTCTATAAACTAACTAATGACATTTTTACCGCGTCTTAGATTGTGGTTTAACATCTATGTCGTCTGTCTGCTTAGTACCGAACGTGATCTATTCCCGAATATACCGAGTGTGAATTTGCATTGTTATACGACGTGTCTCGGTGTTTTGTACATCCAACATTCATGTATTTATTTTTTATGTTTCTGTTATGATTTCGGTTGGATAATGTGTTTTATCATTTGTAGTCCAAATAATTGTAAAATTGCCTTTCAATACCATCATTGTCATGACAATTGTTTGGACAGGTATTGTGAAAATAATTGTATAAAGTTTGAAATTGCATGTTCGTTAAGTAAGTTCGTCACTGTTTGTGATGTCCTGTGGTGTCTGTCGTTGATGGAAGATGTTTGTTGTTGTTCTGCGGTTTGCATGTTGTGTTGACATTTATATTATTATATCATACTATAAAGGTGTGCGTTTCTCTGGGGTGAGTTTTCTTGTGTGTTTTTGTGCTGTATTTTTGTCACGGAGTGTTGTCATTTTAACGATATTTTTTAACATTTTCATATAAACGGGAGGTTGGCTAGCCATAAAACCAGGTGCAACCCGCCATTTTTCTTACAGTGTCCTGTACCAAGTCAGGAATACGGCAGTTGTTATCAAATAGTTCGTTTCTATGTATGTTGGCGTTTGTTTTTGTTGCACCTCAGTGTTCCTGTTGTTCCTTGGTTTTCTTCTTATAGCTGATGTGTTCCCTCGGTTTTAGTTTGTAACCCGGATTTGTTTTCTCTCAATCGATTTATGACTTTTGAACACCGGTATACTACTGTTGCCTTTATTAAGGTAATACTCAATAATCATGTAATGACTCAGTAAACGAAGTCACAAGATAATTTCTCAAAACATTTTTAACTTTTTGTCCATATAAAGCTCAAATAATACTTGGTTTTTCAGAAGTAAACTAATTCTTGTTATAACTACAAAATTTATCATAATATATATTAAAATCGTACAACGTTTAATATAAACAGTTCAAATAACATACATTAAAATCATAACAGTTTAGATTGGATGAATTTAATTTTGAGTACCTGGGTAAGATTGTTAATCATAAGATGACACAAACTACACTCAATAATATTAAAATAAGGAGATGTGGTATGATATAACTCATTATAGATAACAGGATTAACAATTGTACGGCAGACACGCTCGAATCAAAAAAAGTTTTATAAACCAAATATAGAACACAGTTAAAGAGCATCGAGGACCAAATATTATACATCAAAAATATAGTATTTTGAAAGCTTCAAAGTTATATAAACAGTTAATTTATAATTATGACAATATAAATGATAATTCATGTCAACACAGAAGTGCTGACTACTGGGCTGGTGATATTAAATGACATTAAACCACATGGTATTATCTCAAAGTCTTTGCAAACTCATGGGACAATGCATCAATAATCATCAATAGCAGGTACATTTGCCCAACTTCACTTCCTAACGACTGTTAACACCCTTCAGAGTTTGCGACTAAGAGAAAATTCCAAATTTACACTTTAAAATGTTTAGGAAGGCAAAAGCTTCAGTGACGCCATCTTGCCAAAGTTAGGTTTGCATTTAGTAAAGTTTTTTATTGGTCCTATAAAACATTAGATAGCGTTTACATGATTGCTTTTAGGAAAAAGAAAACAACTTGTTTTATAAGTGTTATGCTTTGTTGAAACTTTTCTATATTTTCATTGATATTGTGCTAGCCAAAGATTTTATTGTAACATGCTTTTTTCATCTTTTTTGGTCATCCAGCTTGAATTGAATTGTATAAGGAAATGATAAAAAGTGTCATCTTTAAATTCAAGCAAGTTCACAATATTCAAATAAAAAGCAGTAATACCTGTTATTCCATCAACAAAAATTTGTGCGGCGGACAAATTTGAAAATGGCAGTAACTAAATTTTACATCAAAATTATAAAAGATCAGGATTTTTATCAAAACATTTGGACAACCGTTTAACCTTCTTCATATTTAAATTATCCTTTTTACTGTGGATTTATAAGTATTCGTTGAATACCAATTTTCGTGGATTTCTTGGATAAAGGGCTACAACGAATTATAATCTTCAATGAATTTCAAATTTTCATTTCAAATGTAGGCAGACTTTAACAAAACAACGAAATCAAATATCAACGAAAATCCAAACGTTCCTAAATCCACGAAAGTTGGAACCCACAAAAATAAATAAATTTACAGTAACTGATTTGTTTAATACTGAAAGATCTAAAACTAAAACTCTTATTGCAAGTCTTATTTGCGGTTACATACAAAGTATTTTCAAAATAGGACGTAAAGGGAACTTCTTATGCACAACCAGAATCTAAAGAATGATGGTATCTAAAGCAAAACCAAAAACATATGACCTAAAAATCAATATGCTGAGTAGTCAGACCTTTCACACCTTTAAAAGATTGGCTTGTTGACTTGCTGAAATATCTAATAGTTCAGGAAAATGAAGAGGAGTTATGAAATTGCGAAATTCGTCTCTCAGGCTATCATACCAAGCGAGATCAAAATGGTAACAACTGACAGAAACTGGATCATTTATGACTGGTTGCTATGTGTGGCAACTGACTGTCTTAAAAGAAGTTTATTTGGCATTTTTTTTTTCAGCGTCGGAATCGGTCATAGTATTGGAAGATATTATTTGGGAACATCCCTGGTCTTGTATCAAACCAATAATTTAGGTTACGTTTTAGCGCCAAGTATTGCATGCATACCGCATGCAATACTTGGCGCTAAAACGTAACCTAAATTATTGGTTTCGTTGTATAACTGAACCTTGTTGTCAAACTGAAAAGCAGATATTGATACAAGTTTGTGAAAAATAAAAAAAAAGAAATAACTTGTCATTTAAGTAAATGAAAAAAATTAAAGCAATTGGACGATGTATGATTATAAGTGAAACATATTTTATCAAATACACTAACACTTGGAAATATAAGGCTATTCGAAATGTGTACACCTATTTCTTATTATTGCTGTGCCAGGACAGAATTTCACAAAAAATGAATAACTGATGAAGTGGTGTTACGATAACTTCAAAATTATACGATCAAAGAAAATGTTTTGGAATAGGGAATATGAATGGGTAGTTCGTAAACAACATATTTTCCGTGTTGCAACAAAAGAACGTTATTCTTCGATATCTAATGTTTACTTAAAATAAAATTACTAGGACTGTATTTTCTTCTTGAAATTTTTTATGTGATATACTGTTCCTTAACTCATATTATGTGACATCTACAGTGATTTTTAAAAGGATTGCTTTTCATTTTTTCTAGAATAGTTTGTATGGAGGGCAGTAAAACTGGTTATACAGTAATAGAATTGAAAACATTTTGCTGAAAATGTACACTGCATAAAGCTAAAATAAATGCAGCTCCTCAACTTAGTGTTTTCACAGATAAACGGCTACTTTATTCATGCACATCAGTTTACATAAGTTAATCCAATTGCATAAGCAATTATTGTACAAATATTCATTACGACACATGTAAAACTGTTTAACATTAATCTCAATAAATCTAAAATATAAAAAAAGACAGGGAATCAATTTGAACCTTTCAAAGGCAAACAATGGTTACATTGATAAACTGACATATATAAATTTAAAATTTTAATTTCAACCAATTGGTAGCCGAGAAGTTTCGTCGGTGTATGATATCAGTCACACAATACAAATCTCAAGGAGGGAGTTTTGTTCCAAAAGAAACTCGCAAAAGTCAAATGATTGTCTTTAAATTCCATTTGTGAACTGAAAATGGTAAATAAGCCAATTCGGACTCGATTGAATTCAGCACAAAAAATAAAAACATAAGAATTTAATTTGATGAGTCCATATCAGCTACAGATTTAAGAAGCGTTGATTCTAGAAAAAGAAATTACGATCAACAGATAGGCTAATGTATCTATTGGTATTCAATGTTTTGTAAACTTACCAACACTCAAAATCTGTATAAATTATGAACGAGTTATGTCAGGTTTGTGAGTAAAAGATCGAGTGTACACATCATTAAACTCCTTTTAAATAAAACGACGCACTAAAATGAATGTCCAAAACAAAATGTTAATCAATATTTACAGAACCTCTGTTAAGGTTCTAACTTTTGACTAAATGATACGGACTTTAACATATATCAACGTTTTGATAAGATAAGACTAAACATAAAGCATTGGAATTGCAACGTTATTATTACTGTGTTTTTGTTTTAATTTTTACCCCGGTGGCTCAGTAGCTTTCATACATAGCTTTTAATGTTTCTATACATTACTCGGAGAGAGGCTCAGCCTGTGGTTTAACTCCAGTTCTTCAGCAACCAACACAAAAGAAGACTTCCTAGCCAAGGATCATACATCTAGTAATATAACATACAGTATAATAAATTACGACATACTTTTCAGAACCAAACAAGACGCACTAAAATTTATGTACCCATACCATGAGTTCATTTCATTTGCCTTTATGTCATCCTATTTGAGAATTTGGTAAAAAAAACTAAATGTATCTTTAATTTATCCAAAAATGCTCACACTATTCATTGTATACTATACCGATTGGTAACCTCTTCGTTTTCCAAACGTTTTTTTGATGTTGATAATTTTAAGTTATCTTATATCTCACAATATCAAGTCAGAGCTTTCATATGATTGGTCAAAATATTGTCTTACTTATAGACGCTAAACAATATGTGTTTTATTTTGTGCTGCGAGATCTTTGATGAGAAAAGTTTTAGTATTTAACATACAGGTTTGTAAAAACTAAAACAAACTTTAAGTTTAGTAATATCTAATTATCTAGCTTTTTAATCTATATGGTTTAGTTAAAATTAACAAAGTAAACAATACAGTAAAACGAAATATATCTGTATTTGAGATCTTTAACACACCAGCACAGCAATGAATAATTTTTTTGTAACTTTTATTGTAACCTAAAGAAAAAACATATTTCTTCCTGTTGTACGATGAATGTGAAATTTTTGAAGGAAATGAATGGAAATCCCATTGATTTAAATATTAATTGGCTGTCTTTTTAAAATTATTTAGGTCAACCTTTAACGGCAAACAACAAGAATATAATAGTCAAATACAAGATAGAAGGTTATAAAACGTGAAAATGGTTACTTTTTACAAAAAATTGTTGTGGATAACTGTTCTTTATTTCAAAGGTATGTGAAAAAAGTAACAGAATAAAATGATGCTACGTCTGGTACAAAATTAAACATGTGTGTATCTACTTCATCAGTAAAGTCCTTCTAAAAATAAAAGGAGAGGTAAAGCGGATCGTTATTTTTACAAAAATGGTGACTATCCATAATTGAAAGTTGGTTAATTGTTATAACTGTCATACTGTAACCCAATTTTCTGATTTTTTTTATTCTTGTCTGAAATTATGGTTTAGGGGTTGTCATTAATTTTCTTAATATCGTTATGATAGCATTTCGTTGCTTCATTAACTGCTACCAAATCAAAGAAAAGGTATGCAGACAAATGAGATTATTTTTATTATGCTTTAATTCAGTAAGGCCAGTGGTTTTTTGTTTCTTTGCAATAAGGTCTGAGCTAAAAGAAAAACCAAAGACAAAATGCATTTCCATCAAAAATTCAGGCTACATTTGGACTTTAGTCAAATGTATGTCCCAAATATTTCATTATTTAGTTAAATAAAAAATGAAAACTGTTGTTTTGTTTCTTAGATTAATTATTTAAAAAGCGTTACTAAGGTGTTAGAAATATCCACGTGTTTTACTGGACAGTGAGCACTTTGTAATTAATCAAACGTGAAATAAATGCATAAGTACAGTGCATAACAATAGGCAAAATCTGTTCTTTACTACTCTGAGGAGACGGAGAAAAAGTCGAGTGCTGATTGCTGATGAAGCTAATGAACAATATTGTTTTCCCATCTGAACATGCAAATTAAATATTATGCCTTTATTTTATATACATTAATTGTGTTACATTATATGACAAACCAATAAATGGTAGATTCCGAGATACAATAAAAAATGAATTTCAACCAAATTCTACGTTTTATAAGTTGTATGGTTAACTCGTATTAACCCAAAATGCATTGTGGTTCATTGTGCAATAAGTCGATTTCTAAAGGACATGTTTACATTTTGGATTTGGGAAATTATCATGCAAAGGTATTCTGGCGTTCGAAAACTAGTTTTCTAGACCTGCTTAATTTGTGATCTTAATTTTTGCTTTACCATGTGTATCAAGAGGTAGCTATCGAGTCCGAGTAGGAAGAAGACCATATTATTCAGGCAAGTATGACTCCGAAAGTGACTGGACTTCTTATGGTGTAGGAGGACCTTATTCTGGAACTGATTTCGAAAAACAACAGACAAGTAATAAAAATAATCAGAAATTTATTATATATAATGGTATATATATTATTTTTTTTTAAATTATAATTGCTTGATGTAAAAACAGGATAATCAATTAATTTATTTAAGGAAATAATGTATTAAATGAAATAATTTTGGCTGTTTACTGACAGAAATTACCCAAACGGAAGATGTATTTGATTAAACAATTGTTTCAGAGCTTAGAAAATTTTTCATTAGCATATTTGATTGAGATTTATAAAAATTTTGTCATATATATTCTAGTATATTCTGAATGTAGGACAGAACGTTACTGAACAAAAAGTATGGTACCAAATTTTCTCCACCGGATGTGCATTTGGAAAAAAAAGTCTCTTCGGTGATGCTACAGGCACAACTCTGTTATGAAATTTGAAAAAAAAATGATAAACAAAAATGTATCTTCCAAAATTACATTTATAGTTTTCCTGAATAATAATACATTGTACGACTTTGTATACACTATTTATTGTAAATATCTTTGTTAAGAAAATCAGGCTTTATGGTGCATATCAGCATAACATTCGCATGATTACAAGTTGATAATTATTCATTTTTAATGCAAATGAACAATTTTCTGTTTTGTTTTCAAATGTTAGTCAATAACTTAAGTATGACTTTTTGGCTTTCTGTCTGTTTACCTATATTTCTTGTTACCATGAAGCCAGTCAAATAAAAACTTTCAATAAGAGATATTGACATATAGTTTTAATGTATTATTTAATCATTATAAAGTTTTTACAAGAATATTTGTATACAAAGTTGTTTAACATGTTGAAGGAAAACTCGTATTTTGTAAATCACAGAAAGAAATTGTAGCTCTTTCCTTTGATTTTTTTCTTACTTAGTCCTTTCGAAAAATGTAATAAAAAAATACTTTCCTTCTTACTTCATTAACATTAGGAAAAAGATTCAAGTGAATTTGGTACTCTTTAACAACTTGACACTGCTTTTTTTATTTTACTAAAATAAAACACTTGTTGCCAAGCCAAATGGTAATACATTGTAAACATAATACTAATCCCTCCATTTGAAACCTAGGTATGTAGTATCAGAATGTGAAATAATTCTAATATAATGGTATTCACTTTTCAAATGATAAGAAAAAATGTAATCATTTCTGTTAATTATATGTTTTGCTGTAACGACGTCTTCGTTTTTGTGACGGAATTTAAACAAATGTAGATTATATTTTTCTGTTAATACCAATCTGAGTTTTGACCCATTATTTGTTACTGAAGGTTTATAACATGTGATTGTTCGTTTACTCTGCTTATGCACCTCTTTTTCTACAACTTGTCGATCTCTTCCGAAACAATAATCTTAATGTCACGTGCCGACTTGTTATTTTCAAAACTTTTCTTTTAGAATTAGTTAAAAAAAAGTAATCACATACTCGTTTTGTATAACATTAAGAACGTATTCGTTAGAACCTATCTTTGTCCAGTTATTGACACAGGTGAAATACCTGAGTGTACACGATTACTATTGATCGTAGTATTGCTTTTGAATGTAGTGTTGCGTAACGGTTTTTGTTAATACAAAGGCGTGCTCGAACTACTACTAACGTTACGTAAAACATGTTAGTACTTATCATGTTTTTTTATCTACCGTAGCATGAGGACACTCTCTCTATTTTTTTAAAAATTGAAACATTTTTTTTTGTGAAACAACTTATTCGTATTAACTGGAATCGTTTTTCTTGAGCAATATTTCGTCTTGGAAGATGTTGGCGGTGAATCGATCTTGCGGTCAGCCATTCTTTCTTCAACATTGAGTTGGATTTACTCTGTGCATTGTATATCCCTTTTTTATCTCCGTAATCCTCCGCTAATGGATTTGTGCGTGTATTCGTCGACAACCCTCCATCCTGTGTCTGAAGAATCAGCTTAATGATAGGCTATTGTCTCGACTTTATCAGTTCCATACCTTCCAACTTCTTTCTTTTTTGCCGTTTGGATGCTATTGTTGTTCTTATATTCTGATTCGATCTGGTTGTTTACTTCCAGACCTTTCACAAAGAAATTGTTTTTCATTGCCCCTTTTTCGAAACTTGTAGGTCACTGTCTTTGTTTCATAAATTTTGGCTAACTACGACTCGGACAATGCCTTCTATCCTAGATGAAAACCATTTATCTGTGTGCTAAGCAGTGAAGTTAAGTAGCTTGTTCTTAGTTTATTGAACTTCGACTTGGATTATTTCTCTGTGATTGAAGTCCGTTTTAAAGTCCTTCCTGTACGAACGGCGGCTGAAAAGTGATAAACAAATCGAAACTGCCTATATATATATATGTAGCTTCATATCCAGACGGACAATAATACAAGATTTTTTATAGAGATCATAGTTTGTTTTACTTAATCCTTTTCATATAAAAAAGAAGATGTGGTATGATTGCCAATGAGACAACTCTCCACAAGAGACCAAATGACACAGAAATTAACAACTATAGGTCACCGTACGGCCTTCAACAATGAGCAAAGCCCATACCGCACAGTCAGCTATAAAAGTCCCCGAAATGACAGTGTAAAACAATTCAAACGAAAAAAACTAACGGCCTAATTTATGTACAAAAAAATTAACGAAAAACAAATATGTAACACATAAACAAACGACAACCACTGAATTACAGGCTCCTGACTTGGGACAGGCACATACATACAGAATGTGGCGGGGTTAAATATGTTAGCGGGATCCCAACCCTCCCCCTAACCTGGGACAGTGGTATAACAGTACAACATAAGAACGAACTATAAAAATCAGTTGAAAGAGGCTTAACTCATCAGATGGATAAAAATACAAATACTACAAATACAAGTGGACGTGGCCGAGTACTTGTACGTCCAAACAACAAAAAGACACTAAGTACAGATCTGAGAGTACTCGCAGTTACTGACAGCTAGTTATAAGCCACTAACAACTAATAAAAAAAATCATGCATCTAAGACTAAATTATCAATCCGTACACATCCAACATCCAATGGATTTAGTGTAAAGACGTCATAAACAGTCAGAGAAAAACATGACCTTGTGCAATGCCAAGATACAGGTATCGACAGATTGTATATTTATGAATGTGTATATGTATATAACAATATTATTTAGTTTGCTTTTAATTTACTGATCACAAAATCAATATCAGTACCAATAAAAACAATATTTAATGATCTAATTACAGTGTTGAGTTGGTAACCTTTTAGAATAGGTTTATTAAAAGGATCGATAAGTTTACCAGGATCGTTTCTAAATTTCCGGGCACGGTAAACAATATTGCCGTAAAAATGAGGATGTGCAATCCCGTTTGAAATAAGTTTCTACAGGTACAACCAAACTTCAAAACCAAATCTTTATATCTGTGGAAGAATTTAGTAAAGGTTTTAAGTAATTTGTGGTAACGAAATCCCTGGCTTGATAATTTACCAGTAATACATAGATTACATTCGTTAAAATCAAAAACGTCACAACAGACACGGGCATAGCGAACGAGTTGTGAAATATAAACACCGTAAGATGGTGCCAAAGGAACATCACCATCCAAAAAGGGAAAATTAACAATAGGGAACGAAAAATCGTCCTTTTTGTCGTAAATTTTAGTGTGGAGTTACCCGTGTAAAACCGAAATATCTAAATCTAGGAAAGGACAGTTGTTACCGTTTAAATTTGATTTATTTAAAGTAAGTTCCTTTGGGTAAATTTCGGCAGTATATTGAGAAAATTCTTGATTATTTAACGAAAAAATATCATCAAGATAACGGTAAGTGTTGTTGAATTTATCAATTAAATGCAATTTAGACGGGTCTTTACTGAGTTTGGTCATAAACTGCGATTCATAACAGTACAAAAGCAAGTCTGCTATTAAAGGGGGCGCAATTAGTGCCCATAGGAATACCTACAACCTGTCGATAAACTTTGCTGCCGAAACGTACATAAAGATTATCGAGGAGAAAATTAACAGCTTCAATCATCTCATCACACATCCAGTAAGTATATCTAGCATATTTACCTCTTTCATTAGAGAAGAAGGCTTTAAATGAGTTGCAGCAAATATATTTGCATTCAGATTTACCAAACGACCATTTAATTAAATAGTCAAATTTTTGTTTGTTTGATATGATTGCGTTGAAGTGTAGTGTAAAGAGTAGAAAAGTCAAAACTGTCAACAGAATCAAAAGGACCATCAAAAGCACGTTATTTATCTAAAACATCCAAAGAATTTTTTACACTCCAAAAATAGTTAATTCCACTATTTTCACATATTTCATTACAATAGTTTATGATAAGCCCTTTGATAGTAGTTAAGGAACTTGTTAAAAGCACTGAAAGATTAGTTGTAGAACACTTACTAGAGGCCGAGATGAAACGATATTTTACTGGTTTTTTGTGTAGTTTAGGTAACCAATACATAGTAGGGACCTTCAAATGTTCAGAAGAAGCCTTAAGCTGTGATGTAGTTATGATATGTTTGTTAACTATATGACTCTCTGTGGGGCGCATGGACTTGAATGTAGATGAATTTAAAATTTCATTCTTAAGAACTTCCGTGTAGTATTTACGGCATTCCACCACCACATTGTTGGCTGCTTTGTCGGCCGGTACAAACACAAACCGCTTTGAAAGTTCTTGAAGTTTATTTCTTATTCTGGAAATAGGCGTATTATGTACTCTATTATTTACTTCTAAATTATTTTCAAAATGTGATATTCTACTATCTACCACATTCATACATTTATTTAAATAAGAATCAAGAGATTTTTTCACAGATTTTTCCCGTTTACACCAATTTTTACAAAACGAGGAAAGAGCATCTTTGGTGACCTGACGACACTGTTTCCAATCTATTTAGATGGAGGACGATATTTTGGTTCTTTTTTCAAAAAGTTTTTAACCATGTTTACATTTGTAAAATTCACTCTTTTTTACGTTCTGCAGCAGTAGGATATATGCAGCAATAAATGCAGCAATAGTAACAGTCTGCATTGTCGCCGTCCTCGGATTAGTATACTTCTTTAAGGATCTATGCGGTTGTAATAATAAATCACAAGGAAGAGAAAATCACCTGTAAATAATATCGACGAACGGTGTAAGTTTAAATAGCGTTGATATTTATGTAAAAGGGTCGAAGGCATCTATTGGAGTACATTTATGTGTGAAAAAAAAGTACAGACTAAAACACAGCTCAACTCTATTGTACAAATTTCAATACGTCAAAAGTTAAACGAACAATAAGCCACCAATACAGCAAAAAATCAACATTGGTTGATACATTAATTATTGACAAGGAAGTAAGACCAATTTACCGTTATTTGTTTTTGTATTTCATATTATCTCTTGGAATTAGAACATTAAAAAAAATTATGGATTTGTTTACTGAAATAAATTTTCAAAATAATGATTTCACAGGTATCCATAACATTAAAATGTTATTCAGTGTTTTTGATGTTGTCAACAATTAGCAAACAAGATCCTAAATTTTACAATCTTTGAAATTCTGCATGAAAAGAAATTCATCGGTTTAATTTGTCTGATTGTTGGTTTTGATTAATTTTTCATTTAAAAAAACTCATGTTCTGTCAAAACTGCTAACCAATATATCTAGACAAATATGCCATGGTTATATATTCAAAAATACGTCACAATACGTTAAGAATCTCTACGTGAAGTAAAGACTTTTAAAAATGGCATTGCTGTAAAATAAAGACTGAAGATGTTTCCCTAAGCTAGTCTTTTTTTATATGATCATTAATTCTGCTTTAATTTGTTGTCGTTGTAGAACAAAACTGGCGACAAGAGAACCGACAGAGAAGAAAAACGATTGCTAATATAAACTGTACTGTAAAGGTGAACGAATTAACTCATATCTTAATGTAGTGGTGTTTTGTATTGCTCATTTGTTTTTTTGTTTGTTTTTTTTTTCGTTTATTTGTGTGCATTTGGCAAATTTAAGTTAAAATGCGGAAACAAAAATGGGACGCAAAAAGATAAACACATAATGCCCCCGTCGCGTACGGCGAGGGCATGAAAAGTCAATAAAACCTGACAAAATCAAACGCTCGACAATACAAACTAACGAAACGAAACATATTCCTGACATGATACAGACATTTTCTGAAGAAAATTGTGTATTAAACCTGGTATAATAGATAACTTAACCTCACACTTGTATGATAGTTGCTTATTGTTCGGTTTTATTGACATAAATGGGTGAGCAACCGAAACTGACATGATTGGTTAACGTCACACTAATTGAGAACCAGCAGCCAAAACTGTGTAATCAAACATCATATACATACAAAGAAAACTGACTTGAATTTTCAAACAAACAAACACTAAAATTGACAAAGACTCCATCATAAATGTTTTGTAGTTTGAATTGTACATCTGGACTCTCCTGCATCACAAAACGCTCAAAGCGAAACACCTATTAGCTGGATATACAAATGCCGAGTCATGTCAAGTACAAAGACAAATAAAAGGAAAACTGTAAATTAATAAAAGATAGGCGAACATTACCAAAGGGACATTCAAACTCCTAAGTCGAAAATAAACTGACAACCACCTACAAGGCTAAAAAAGAAAAAGAACAAACAAACAAACAACAGTACACAAAACACAACATAGAAAACTAACGACTGAGCAACACGAGCCCCACAAAAACCTGGGGTGATCTCAGGTACTCCAGAAGGGTAAGAAGATCCTGATTCATATGTGGCACCCGTCAGCACCTATAGTCTATAACTCAAGACCATCCTGCTGTAAATGTTTTCGACAAGAATCTGATCATTTTCAGTGTCATTGTTCACTGCACAGACAATATCCAGGGAAGAAAATGTATATTCAAATCTAATTAAACTATGGGTGCATTCCAAATTACTAGTAGGTTTCTTGTTTTGTCTACAAAATGAACAAGATTGCAACGCCAAAGGAAGATGTTATCCGACACTGTGTAAATGTGGAATAACATTGTTTGTGTTCATTATAGAGTTTTACAACATTGACACAAACTTCATTGCAATATGTTTTCAAGATTTAGTATTTGTTGCTGTTATTCAATAGGCTAAGCATGGTGTGATAGTGGACCAATAGAAGAAAAACTATCAAAGTTCCCCTTTTCCTTTTGATGGAAAGAAATATAACGGTACAATTGGTGATCAAAATCACAAGATAGCGAACCATCCTTTCAAAATGTGTGAGCTTTCTGTTTAACGGACTCATAGTTGTTGCGTTCACAATGTGTCATTGTAGTAAGAAAAAAAATTTAAAGATTGTCAGCTTTCATTTGAAGACAGATAATCAATGATCATGCAGTACTCCGTAAACGAAGTAACGAGATAAGTTCCAAAAATGTTTTTAACGTTTTTGTCCAATTACGGCTTACATGATACTAGATTCTTGAGTAGTAAACTGATGTTCTTACTAGAAAATCCAGCATAACTGCAGAATTGGACATACGTTTAATACAAACAGTTTCTCATTACATTTATCTAAATCGCACAACGTTTAAAACAAACAATTTCTCATTACATTTATTAAAATCGTAAAACGTTTAACACAAACTATTTCTCATAACATTTATCAAAATCGTACAATGTTTCATACAAACAATTTCTCATAACATTTATTAAAATCCCACAACGTTTAAAACAAACAATTGCTCATAACATTTATTAAATCGTACAACGTTTAATACAAACAATTTCTCATAACATTTATTAGAATCGTACACAGTTTAGATTGGATTAATTTAATTTAGAGTATCTGGGTAAGATTACCCAAACTGTATCAATAAACTAATTACAGGTACCAGAATTAAAATCTGTACGGCATACGCGCGTTTCGTCTACAAATGACTCAGCAATTACGTTCGAATCAAAAATGTTTAAAAGGCCAAATATAGTACGAAGTTGAAGAGCACTGAGGACCAAACATTCCATTTATCCAACTAGCTTCCTAGCGACTTTTTACAACCATTCAGAGTTTGCGGCTTGGAGAAAATTCCAAATATACACTTTAGAATGCAAACATATGTTTAATATTGCGAAAGCATCTTGCCACAATGTGGTCTGTATTTAGTAAAGTTTTTCCTTTTGATCCTATGAGATTTTAAATAGCGTTTCAATAGTTTACAACTTAGTGCTAAAACATTTGTAACGTTACAGCTTTATGTAAACATTAACACCTTTTCAATTTTCAACCAAAACAAATTTGCGCCAACGATTGATTTTCGGAAAAAAGTAAACAACTTGTTTTATAAATGTTATTCTTTGTTAAAACTTTTCTATAATTAGGTCTTTCCACTTTCGATTTTGTTCTGATTATAATTTATTTTTTCTTGCGGTGTATAGTAGTTTCGCCAGATGTCGCTCAGAATATTTGCATATGATATCGAACAGTCATTGTAGTTTTGAAACTGACCCTGTTTAACCGAACATCTCCCTAAACACTGTTTTTTCTTGTGTGCTCATCTACTTTGCAACGTCAAAAGATTACGACAAAATCATTTTACCAATTTGCTCGTTATATCCTCAGGATCTTAAAAATAATTTTGACCAAAGCTTCCCGGAGACTCCATATGAGAGTTATTTCCCCTTCTGTATATAAAATAAGTGAAAGGTAATTGTAATTGGTAAACCACAAGTTATAGAGACCTAGGTTCTTTTGAAATGAGGTCCTTTGGTTTACACGAAAGAAATGAGGTCAAGATCAAAGGTCAAGATCAGGTTCTAAATTTTTATTTTGGCTTATAATTGATCCTTTTCAGGAACCGTTTAAGATATCAACAAAATATATTACTAAACTGTTTGTTGCCATTTATACTTATTATGTGCGTTTGTTTTGTTCACACACTGTTGTCAAAATAATGGAATTTTTATGCGACTGGTTAAGCTAGCTATAAAACCAGGTTTAATCCACCATTTTCTACATATAAAAAATGCATGTACCAAGTCAGGAATATGACAGTTAGTATTCATTCGTTTGGTGTGTTTGAGCTTTTGATTTTGCAATTTGATTAGGCACTTTCCGTTTTGAATTTTCCTCGGAGTTCGGTATTTTTGTTATTTTACTTTTTGCTACATGTCGTAACATATATATTTTGGCTAAAAGGGTGCGTTGACATTTTAATGGAGTTTCCTCCCCTCAAATAATTAAAATTAGCTGTATTGGTATAGAACTTATGTCCCATATAGAGTGGAGACTTCGGTCATTTGATTAGAGGCCCAGATTTCAGATTTTAAAATTTAGTTCAAGGTCAAAGGTATTTTGACGCTCTAGATTTTGACCTTTGGTATAAATTCATATCTATACATGATAAAGCCTTGCGGTCTTTTGCATTAGGTTTGCAGACATCTGACCTTAAAATTGTAAAGCAGAAGTGACCTTTTCAAAACCGGAAGTAGCAACTTATCTCCCTTGTCTTAAGCAAAAGTATAAAGAAACTGTATATGTTTGGAATCAGCGTAAAGTAAGCTATTATTTAACACCGGAAATAATTTTGATTTAACCGGGAGTGACTTATTATCTCCTTAAATTGATGAATAAAGTGCCAGAAACATTGTATTTTTTTAAAAATCAGAGTGTGATAAGCTATCATTTAAGACCGGACATACTGTTTTTATTCAAATTTTCTTAACTTAAGTGAATTTCGGTTGAAAGACCTTCATTTGTTCTCTGAAAAATTGGTTTTTTTATTTCATTGATATTGTTCTAGCCAAAGATTTTATTGTAAATGTTTTTTGGTATCACCAGCCCAGTAGTCAGCACTTCTGTGTTGACATGAATTATCATTGATGTGGTCATAATCATAAATTAACTGTTTACAAAACTTTGAATTTTTGTAATACTAAGGCTTTTCTACCTCAGGAATAGATAACCTTAGCTGTATTTGGCAAAACCTTTAGGAACTTTTGGTCCTCAATGCTCTTCAACTTCGTACTTTATTTGGCCTTTTTAACTTTTTCTGCTATCGTAATTATCTTTTTTTTTCTTACACTGATAAAGTGTGTTTGTTGTGTTGTGTGGAGGTCATATATAGTTTTTCCTGTGATAACAATATGTGTTGCTCACCCAATGTTGTCAACATAACGAAACTATATAAACAATTGTCATACCATTGGTAGGTTTAGTTAGCTATAAAACCAGGTTCAACCAACCATTTTCTATTGAAAAGCCTCTACTAAGTCAGGAAGATGATATATGTTTTCCATTCATTAAGTTGGTTAGAATGGTTTAGCGTTTAATTTTGACCGATTTTATGGACTTGAACTGTTTGAGTTTACCTTGGATTTCGGTATTTTTTTTTTAATAATTTTATCGTAGTCTGGCGATATGAATTCTGCTTAAGAAACTTCTCTTATGTGTATTTTTTTCGCTTTTTGCTTTTCTCTTTCGATGTACATGCTCATCAATATTGTACTATACATCCGTTTTATTTTCTTTCTTCATGTATTGTTACCTGTCAAGTTATCTAACAAATGAATATTTTGATGGACCCGCTTGGTTATCTAAATGCTTGTATTGTTTCTGTATTTTATTTTGTTATTTCAGACAAAAAATGACGGTACTGTTATGTTAGTCAAATGAGTGTTTATATTGTACACTATTTTCTCTCAAAGCCATATGTTTTTTTCTGAAAAATTCTAGAAAAAAATTTCTTGTAGTAAAAAATATGCTTTTTAGTTAGTACTTTAGTTCTGTATGCTTTTGTTGAAATATTATTTGAATATAAATATTTTTTTGCATTATTTTTTTTTTGCATTTAAACGATGCTCTGAGCAATATGTTAATGTGCTTGTTCTTAAGGTTACTGTCCACACGAAGACACGTCACCCTTTATGGACACATTCTTTTAACTCCAAGCCGACCGGTCTTTGTTCTAACTCCTAAATGCCGCCTGTATAGCGGAAAAACA